ATATGAGGTGAGGGGAATGCGTATATCTTGCTGTCACTTATTTATTATACTGGTTTTTGGAATATGAACCAAACAATAAGATTATTCATAATCTAATTTCTGGCATCAAATCAACTGCCTATTTTATAATAGTTGAGCTAAAATCAAGAGACTAAAAACAGTAATACAATTCAAATTCAAAACAAAATCTTTAGAAATCTTTTAATTTCCCTTCCCGAGCTTCCACATTTTGATTGTTTCTATACCACAAAGCTCATAGGAATTTTAAAAATCTTTCAGAGGCTGATCTCAGCCCATTTCAAATTCTCAGAGGCCCGTGATCATGTCTGAGGCGGGAAAAGCTGTTTTTGACTCGGACACTAAAGTGCAGACAGTAACCAAACGTCCCATAACCTTCACAGCTTTTTCCTTTGCTCTAGCCAAAGACCCACCCCCTCCTTTCCTGCTTATCTGCTCTTCTCACTCCAACCTGACATCATCACAGAGAATTGTAACAAACACCTTTCTTACAGTGTCCTTTCATCAGGGGAGCATGAGCATAAAACAGTACCATGAACCCTGTCGGTATCTTTGCAATCTTTCCACAGCGAACCCCGTTGTTACTTATTTATAGTAACATGTTTCCCAGAGGGCCAAAGTAATTGAAACCAAATGTGTGGAGGCAGTGAGATGGGGAAGTAGAGCAGTGGTAGCATCTGGACAGGAGAAAAAGAGAAGGAGATAGAAATGGGAGGAACAGGGAAAGCCCTTTGTCTACTGTTGGGACATAAAGTTTTTGGCTTCCAATTAATACAAGACTTTTTTCAGAGAACACAATGAACTGACAGAATAAACCAATACAATAGAACTGAAAGGAAAGGAGAGGCAGAGAAAGAAAGATAAAAATAACCCCACAACCCCAACTAATCCAGCACAGACAGAAAACTTACCAACAAAAAGGAAGTATCAGTTCACATTAAGCGCTGCCCTGTCTCTCTGCTGCCAGGAAGTCACATGCATTTCCTCGCACAAAGCATAAGTCAGAAACAATTAAATAAAAACTTACCATTCTGACCATGGGCTCTCAACCTGAAGTCAAAGCTAATGCACTCAGGGTGTAACAGGGAGATAAAAGTAGACTGAGACACCCTTTAAAGATGGCATGAGGCCTATTGTCTCTGTCTCTCGCTCTCTTTCTTTTCCGACTGACTCCAGGCAGTTACAAGACCCCTTTCAAAACTGTCAGCTTTTCCAATAGCATATGCGCAAGCCAAAATCCCTGCCCCAGAGTCTGTAGGAATTTCCTGAACTCTCAGTCCAGTATCTGCAGCAGACCAAGAACCACAACGGGCAGTGACTGAGTCTTGTGACTCTCTGCTACCGTCTGCCTGAATAACTGCCCCTGGTTTCTGTCCAGATATAGTGCTAGGAGACACATAGGGGAAGTTAAGGGGTAGGCTAAGGTTGATATGTGAGGAGGATTTTTTTTTAGCACAGCCCCTCACCCTGCATGTGTGTGTTTTTAGAATGCAACCATGGGACTTGGAAATGCACATTTACTTTTCTATTTAATGTTTGTGCCTGGCTGTCTATGAGGGATAAATCTGCCACAAAGCCTTTCCTATACAGCATTTTCTGCAGGCATGAAGTCATCAGACTGATGGATAAAAGTAATCATTGTTTAGGTTGCTTCCTTTAACAGGCTAGTTCAGCATTAGCAGGACATACCATGGGGAATGTAAAACCAATTGTGTTCGTAAGACCACATGTGCAATCAATATACAGAATCCCAGGAAGATTAATCAGCATGCAGCCTACATTGCTAATGCTGGTGGCGTGCTGGACTATGGTGTGAAGGTACAAAACATTAGCATAAATATATTCATGCTGTATTTTACCTTACTGCAGTGACAAAGAATTGTGTTTGGGGTGTTTAGGCTTGAATTTATTCAGGTGGTTGTTTGCTTCACACTCTTTGACAAAGGGGTCGAAAACAACCAATTAGAGTCAGAATTCTGAATCAGGGTTTAGCGGCACCATTTCAATGTAACCTTGAATAATGTTGTTGTCGGATTTAATAAATTCACCACCAAAACTTCTGCATGACATTGTTTTGGAAAAGATGTCTCCTATATTCTACTTGTAAATATCAACCCTACATTTTTAACATAGTGAATTAAATTAGATTAAAGATCGAATAGAAGTGAGTGCAGTTGTTTACATAGTTTGGCTATAGCTGTAAAAAGCACTGGACTTTATATACAGTAGTTGCTCTTTTCCATAAAAGCTTTTACATTGTCTTTTCTCTATATATATATACACTATTTCATCAAATATTGTTTAACCACAAAAGAGATGCACTCAGCAGAAAAATACCATGAGTAGAGACTATATGTCACTAAACTATTATTAAGTAAATATATCCATCTAATGTGATATATTTTAGCCACTACACAATATGAAAACCTGCTGAATGACTGCCAGAAATAGTACTGGTAGTCTAAATTATATTATCTACACCCAAAACCAATTGCAGCCTTCAAAACCAGGAATCCAATAGGTCCTCTGAGGGGCAGAGCCAATGCAACAAAAGTAAATAGAACTGGAACAAACCAAGAGGAGAAACAGATGTTTATTATTGTTATTATTATTTCAGTAAGTGGAACCACTTTAGATTTAGGCTGTTTGTTTAAAACAAATAGTATTTACATACACTGCAATTGGTATTTGGATTGTAATATAATAAACATTTAGCATTTCATATTGCTACTACTTATATCTAAAGACTAAAATAACTAAAAACATAAAATCTCATTTAAACAGCAGCTCTTATGTTGAACAGGGTATGTTAAAACAACAAACTAGCAAGCAATGTAATTTATCATCAGAATGAAATCATGTTTTACCCATGCTCTGCTGTGAATAAAGAGTTGTGTTCCAAATGACATACTATACACTATGTATTCTACCATCCAGTGTATAAATGTGTAGGAAAAGCTGAGACAGTTGGGTGCATGAAATGCATTCCACCCTGTATGTGTGCATCATCCAATTATTTGAAGTGCACTTTTTCTTGTTGTAATTGTTACTACTCACACTATTTATTCTGCAAAATTGCATAGATTCTGTTAAGGTGTTCACATTTTTATCTTGGCATTCACATTGAATTTAAAAGTGAACTCAGACCTTTTTGCCCAGTTCAAATGTGATAAGATTTCAGTCCATTATATTGTTATTTTTGGAAGTAATTCAACATGAATATTACATTATTGTAATGTACTTAATTGGTTAATTAAATAAATCACACTGCAGACTCCAAACCTGTCATGAATCCAGTCTATAAACTTCGGTTCACTCACTACCAGAGGTCACCCGCTCTCCACATGGACTCTCACACTACACAGACTCTTACACATCACCCTGGACTACATTTCCCATGCTCCATTGCACTAATCACAAGCTCACCTGAAACCAATCATACACAACTGCTACCAATAACACACACTATATAAATCAGTCTCACACCACCATTCAACGCCGAGTATTGTTTGCGCATATCGCTCAGTTAGTGATAGCAACATTACGGAGCCCTTTTCTTAATCTTGTATTTGTTCCTAGTTCTAGTCTAGTCTTGCCTCATTGTGTTATTTGATTGCCTGGTTGCCTGATTCTCTGCCTGCCTTGGATTTATCTCTCCTTATCGTTTGGACTCTGTTTGCCCCTTTACTGGACTATCGCCTGTTTGTGGATTACCTGTTTGCCTTGCCCTCTGGATTACGTTCACCGATCGTCGACCCTAGCCTGCCCTAGGAATACTCTTTGCCTTGCCTGAGATGTACCTGTGTTGTTGTCTGACCCTTGCCCATTTTTTGACCACGGCTTTGTAATAAAGCCTTGCACATGGATCTGCACGTCTCATGTTCTGATTACTCCGTAAAAGAATACTCGGCCTGACAGGGATCCAGCGGCTTCACCAAGGAACATTGGCCAGGTATGAATGCAGTGGTTTTGCTACTAGCGCACAAGCAGGGCACACGGTCACTCGAGGTTTACATTGTGGAATATTTGGCTTTTGCAAATGGCTCAGAATTACCAGACTGTATGTTAATAGACTTTTTCTGTGATGGTCTTAACCAGCCTTTAAAGTCAAGAGTGATTCAAAAGGGTCCTCGTTCGTCACTGAGTAGTTTTTTTGGATTATGTTTTGTGGACTGTTGGTTCAGCGTTCACTGTGGGTGTCACGGAGGAATGCGACACCGCACTCACTCATGTACAGGTGCATCTCAATAAATTAGAATGTCATGGAAAAGTTCATTTATTTCAGTAATTCAACTCAAATT